ACACGTCTGTTCACAAGCTGTCAACAAGTTGTGCTCGCACTGCTTGTTCTCTCAGTTTGTTGTAACAACTTTGAAACAAGCTGTTAACAACTTGTAACAAGCTTGATGGCATTATCAGCCTTGTTACAAGATTGTGCTAATAAGTTTGTTACAGCCATGATATAACAAGGATGTTACAAGGTTGTCAACACAAGGTTGTAACAATCTTGTTATATTAACTCATCTCATAGACGTGTCAGAACAACCTTGCAACAAGTCTGATAATTTCGAAAAGGTTGTTACAAGTTATCAACAAGTTGTTCCAAACCTGATGGCAACTTGTGACAATACATCTTGTTAACAGCTTGTGAACAGACTTGTAACAAACTTGTGCGTTTTTACGTGTGTACTCGAAAATCGGGGTAGTCGGAACACTTCAGAACAGTCATGTGACTGTCTTCTGTTCCATTCCATCATTAGTGTTCCGAAAATCCAGAGTACTCCGAACAGTAAATGGAGCAGCTTGCAGAACAGATAGGGCTGAGGAGAGGAAGAGATCCATGCAAATGACAGGGTGATCATTTGATCGTCGAGGCAGAGGAAGCGGTCGATAATTTGGTTGGTGCATGAGGCATAGGAAGTAGTAGAACAGCGACAAGCTGACAGGGCAAGGAGACAAGATGGTCAAGATATAGAGGCGGATATACAGCAAGAGGAATATGACACCTAATGACGGCGTAAACGGACAAATTCAAGGTGGTCGACTTCTACGGATACATCAATACAATTCATGAGTAAAGCGGTAGGGAAAAAACACAGCTAAATTATAAATACCATACACCCTTTTCATAAATGGTTGCCCATTAAAAATTATTTTATGTGCATATAAATTGGCCCAACTAGCCTCGTACTCAAGTTAGGATTTCAAAGGAATTTCTACCCAGAAACGAGGCTAAAAGAATTTTTAATCGGCAGCCATTTATGAAAAGGGTGTATAAACGTTAGCTAAATGGTTCAACGTTTATCGTTAGTTGACAGTTTAATACATAGTTATGTTGGTGTTTTGTTAGATAAATAGTGTAGTTTGGAAGGATGTAGTGTCCAGGACTACTCGGACATGGGACCGGGAAAGGCATGGCGGCCATGTTTGTAAGTTGTACATATAAATAGGTATAGAGGTTTATATTGCCGTTGAAATAAAAGATAAAATCGGAACATTTCAAATATTCCCCAATAATCACCGAGCCTGAGGCGAATAATTGTTTTAGTATTTTTACACAAGTCTGACTTTTGTGTTTTGGGCAATTGGGGACTGAATTAGTGGTCATTAGTGAATTTATTTTACTGGTAATTTTGCTTTGCTTTAATATTTCTTTATCAGTAACTTCCACAAAACGGTATTTCGCAAATCTTGGTTTTGTATATTCACCTGTAGGTGAATATAACAGCTTAAAACTTGTAGGATTTGTTATATTCACTTAATAAATACTAAAACTGTATATATCAACATGGAAAATGTTTTATATTCACATTCTATAATATTTAAAACAAGTGACGTGCACTTCCGCTTTCAGTTTGCCAAACTTGACTGTACATTTCTTAGAATTTGTCGTTCATTTTCCAAGTATGACAAGTCTTTTTAAACGAAGACTTTCGCAAACATTTCTCGACAATTTTATTCACCGAAGCAAAGGGATTTGAACGAGATTTATTAAGGTGGCTCAATACACTTTTTAGCCAAAGGAGCAAAAGTTGAATATTTTCTGTTTAAATGCTTTTACAGGGTTAAGTTTTACTTATAATTGTAACACATAGTAAGACGTGTCACAGACAAGAAGAATTCTGATAAAAGTCGCGTTTCCATGACAACTATAACGAATACTGGCAACACTAAATAGCCGAAAATATCGCAGTTTTTCGAGTTTTTTTAAAAAATGAGTTCGGTGACCCCAACTTTTTTTTTAATAAATCAGTTACGTTAGTGTCGAGAAACATTTCTGGGAAGTTTAAAAAAAATCTGTCGACTCAATTCTTTTTTATTTTTCCATCATGAAATCTTGAAGCATGTATCTACTCATGTACAAATTTTCAGGGTACCTTACCGAACTCGTTTTGGAAATAATCACGGTTTTATTCCGCGCGGCCAAAGTTTTTCACACTCTGCAAGATCAATGAATTGACATGCGCGTACATGTTTTCGCAGGCGCATCTCCAGAAAAACACGCACAAAAAAGTTTTTAGTCTCGTCGAAATATCAAATATATATTGTGTTTTCTTGCTTAGAAATGCAAATATATTTGGTTTTTCATGCTAACTCGGGATAACGCCAAGAGAACAGGTGATTGTCGGTCGTTTGGTATAAGATATGTGTGACATGTATGAACTTTTTGGCTTTTCTACATAGTTTTATATTCGTTTTCAGTCGTAACTTGTGTGTTTTCATGTTGTTGTTGACAAGTTAAAACAGTTTGAACCGGCGCACGATGCTGTTTCACTGAATTCCTTTGCTGTTAGTAACACTTTGAATACATTTACCAGTTGTAAGTACAAAAAAACTCTGGATATGAACTTATAAATCGCCAAATATTGGAGTAAAAAACTTTTCGCCGGTCCGGGGCCGATCGCCAGTTTTCACAAGAGTTTGAAAGTTGAACATTGCATTTTTTTACCTTAAAATGTCTTCTAAAAAGACTAGTTATTCAATGTTCAGAGCTAAATCAGGACGAAGTTTGTTCTTTGAGAACAAATGAGAACAAGGAAGACTCAAAACATCAAAATAAACATGACTTGTGGTTCGGATTTTATACCGAAAAAGTTGTATTTATTTTTGCATATATTTTTAACATTTTCGCGCGAGAACTGAAGATTAGGTACCAGTCCCCCAATGATGAAAAGTGTATGGAGCCACCTTAAACCATAGATATAGGAGACCTAGATTGCTGACTCGGCTCAACCGACGTGGCATATTTTGAAAATCCAAGATGGCGGCTCAACCGGGCAAAAATCACAGAGAGAGATAGGGAAAAACCATGTTTTTTGCATTTTGCGTCGTCCTAAAGCTTCCGATCGCGTTCTATCACTTTATTTTGGAAAGAACTAACTAGTGTGAAGGTTTTGGATGAAAATTTGTACAATCAGTACAATTTTATACCATGGTTAATACAAATTACGATTCAACCGGGCAAGATTGGGCAGGCCTGCAGTTTCGCGCGGTTTTCGTCTTTAGTTTCTTCCTGTGTATTCCTTCAGTCTTTTACGAGTTTTTCTCAAGTAATATTATATATTTCTAACTATTCCAAAAGCTATTACTGTTTATTTTGTTCTTTCATTGTTATTTCGACCAAAATACAGTATTTTCATCTGAAAATTCTAGGGCTTCTATTCCATCTGGGTTTTTTTTATCGAAAAGAATGCTTGAAAGTCGGCCAGAATCGTGTTCAGTGTATTACTACAAGACAGACGTGGGATGTTATTCGATTTTCCTTCCATAAGTAAGTCTATGAAACACACACACATCACATATTTGTACACTATAAGTCTATAACTTACATCATATAAACAGAATAATAATAGAATAAAAAGAATTTGTTTTGTAAATACTGTAATGACAACGTCACAACAAATGTAGTTTTGAGTTTGGCAGCTACAATATAAAACTATTTACAGTTTTAATAAAAGAATATTAGACCAAAAAAGAACTTCTTGTTTTGATGTCTGTGTTAGGAGAGTCTCTCTCTCTATATATGCATGTTGACAACAACTTTCCTTGTCCTGTTCAAAGTCAAAAATGTTTTAGTTTTGTTCACATCAGTGAACCAAAAATACATCTTTCCCTTTGCACTATTGGATTTCCTATAACCAATCCCAGCCTGCTAAAAAATGAAATGGGCAGACTCAATGCCAATCAAATATTCATTCTTGTGTGAGAAACACTTCACACCGGATGATTATACTTCACACCGATGATTATATTAATCCATGGTGTTGCAAGGTGCCCTACTTTATTATTTTACTCTGTCTAACGCCAGACAATTTTACTCATCAAGAGGAGAGCAGTGGCACTTAATGGGTTAACTGGCCTACCTGCAAATGTGTATAGTTAACCCATTGAGTCGTTTTGTGCCCTACTTAATTATTTTACTCTGGCTACGCCAGACAATTCTACTCGTAAGGGGAGAGTGCTGATGCTTGGGTCAGCTGTCTCAAGGGGAGAGTGTCCGAAGGGAAGAATGCCGACTGCAGAGAGCAATCAATAAAATGCCAATCCAAGAAATATCTAAACGAAGATGCCGTCCCATCTATTTTTGATTATCAATGATGAATCAATCAGGTTTCTTGGAGAGAACTAGATACTAACTGTGAAGGTTTTTGATGCATACCAGACACATTAGGCAGTTTCTTCAAACTAGTTTCCATTGAAAACTTTCGTTGTCACTAGTTCTCTACAAACCTGATTGATTCATCACTTTTCACTGTCCAGGCCCTATAGACTTGAGATCCCTTGACAGGCCCTTGACATCTGCAGCAGCAAGGAGGTTGTCAAAGTCACACTAAACAGAGCATCAGAATTTTCGCACCAGCAGACCAAATAAATCAAGTAAAATAGGCTTTAACTTCAAAATACTTCACAGAATTATTCCTTGTTAAATATCCCAACCGAGATCCTCGAGAAAAAAAGCACCCAAAGAACCAAAACCTTTATTTTCTGCAACAAAATGTCTCGAACTGCTCAACCGACCATTGTGACGATTTCAGAAAACATTTAGCGATCGATTATTTCGTCTTTATTAAACTTAAATTGCACAAATATTCATCCAAAACCTTCACACCAGTTAGTTCTTTCCAAAATAAAGTGATATAACGGGATCGGAAGCTGTAGGACGACGCAAAATGCAAAAAACATGGTTTTTCCCTATCTCGCTCTATGATTTTTGCCCGGTTGAGCCGCCATTTTGAATGCTCATGAGTGTCACGCGCGTGCATTATAGAAAACATTAGAGTCAGCAATCTAGGTCTCCTATATCTATGCCTTAAACTGACATGCAAAATTTGACTAAAAAAGTAAAGTATTATTAAATGTCTGAGGGGCAAGGGAGAAGAGGAGGGAAAGGACCGAAAGGACGCGGAAAGGGCGGGCGTCGTGGCAAGGGTCGGGGTCGGGGAAATGAGTCGCGGCAAAGTGAAACCAGTGGCAGTGCTCCTGGTGGTGTACAACAGCAGAGCCAGAGGGACGAAGAGAGAGGCGCCACAGCTCTGCCAGTTGAACAACGAACACTGCAGACCGTAGAATCACAACAGACAGGGGCATCATCAGAGCAAGTTTCTAGTGGCGGAGGAACAGAACAGAAAAGAACCCAAACTCCCAAGAAACATAGGCAAAGAAAAAAACATGTTGAACAAACAGCAGAACAACATGGAGGCACTCCAGAAGCCAAAACTGCACCCGAGCAACAACCCAAATCCCAACCACAGCTTGTTTCGCAGGAGCAAGTTGAGGCTCCAACCGAAAGCCCTTCTCTGAAACAGACTGAAAGAAGTATAGGTATGCTTTCCAAAATTCGATAATATAGTCTATACTGACATCAAAGTAAAATTGTATATGCATTAATATATCCATTTTTAACTTGTGGTGTGATTATTGGGGCATGCATAAAATATGCGCACAATGTATCCTAGGCCACATGCATCCTAGAAAACGATTTTCATTTAGCATACTCTTGGAACTGAAATATTTTACACAAACTATGAACACTTTCGAACACGCTGAGTTCAAATCCGAAAGTTCCCTACTACTTCCCGTTCCGTAGACCCGCAGTTTTCTCACAAACTGCTATTTATCTTCACTAATTAAATTTCACGACAAATTTTATCCGGCATTGTTCAACGACACGGATCGATGGATGAAGACACACGATTGCATAACTCAAAATGACTAATTCCTATCAGTAACCAGTCTCTACATTTAACAAAAAGTCAAAAGACCGTTTTGCTTGGATCATTTTGAGTTATGTAATTTTAGGCGCTTTGGACGTAAACAACATATCTTGTCTACAACTTTGGGAAGGTACTAACCTGAAGTTCAGGCCCTAATTTGAAATAGGGCCTGACACAAAACCTGTCTAGACCCAATCTCGTTCCCCGAGCATGCCCGTTCGCAGGTTAAGGGTGGGCATAGCTCTGGAGAAATCGAATTGATTCAGGCCTGTGATTGGCTAACGGCAGATAGTACGTTGGATTTCCAACGTGAGTTCTACGCATGCTTGGCAATTGCAGCAAAATATAAACAAAGCATTTGGAATTTCTCGTCGAAAATAAATGAAAATTTGATACTTTTTACACTGAAATCGATTGAAAACAACTAGAAATTCTGGGGGAAATATGTGCGAAAGCTTCGGATTGGTAGCGATACAACTACCTGAAAAATACAAGGAGAACTTCGACGTTTCGAGCGAAGGCGCTTCGACTTGTGCTGTTAGTGTTTGTATACATCGTACTTGACCTTTATATACTGTACTACCTAACACTACGTATACCTTAAATTCTGACAGGAGAGTTAAATGTAAATTTTAAAGCATAAAAATATATAATACTTATTATTGAGGAGATTATATTTATCAGCAAAGGTCAAGTACGATGTATACAAACACTAACAAATATACAAATCGAAGCGCCTTCGCTCGAAACGTCGAAGTTCTCCTTGTATTTTTCAGGTAGCTGTATCCCTATCCAACCGAAGCTTTCGTACATATTTCCCCCAGAATTTTTAGTTGTTTTCAATTCGATTTCAGTGTAAAATGTATCAAATTTTCGACGCGAAATTCTAAATACTTTATTTATATTTTGCAACATTGCCGAGCATGCGTAGAACTCACGTTGGAAATTCAACGTGAATCAATTCGATTTCTCCAGAGCTATGCCCACCCTTAACCTGCGAATGGGCATGCTCGGGGAACGAGATTGGTCTAGACCGTGGGACGCCCACATGTTATTTTTAGACACAACATGCAATATGATTGACAAGTGTTATAGATTTCGTTACACAAAAAAATTATATTCTTATGAACATGTCCGCAGAGTGTGCATTTGCTTTATAATTAAACTTAAAAATTCAAGGTACTTTTATATAAATAAGATTCAGACAAAGATTTAATTAGTCAGTTCTGTGCATGGCTAGACTGCCAAGCTTTCTCAAGGTCTCAACTTGCTGGACGCGGATATTAGGGATACACTTTATTAAAACGGGCTAACAACAGCAACAATGAAATTCTCAATCGTACCACGAAGAAGGCGATGTAGCTCAGAAAACAACGCCGGTAGGACCTGATATTAAAAATAAGACTTTTGCCGGCGAAGCCAGTTGGCAGAACATCTTGGCTGTGAACAAGCTTTCGAATACATGACTTAGTTTGGCTGTTCTTTCGGCGTCGTGTGTCCAAAATTCGTCCAAGATTTTGATAAAGCCCTTTTAAAATACTGTTTGTTTGATTTATTTTCTGCCATAAAGCATAAAAGAAAAAGAAATTCGAAGAAATCGATAATGGAATTTGTACGTGCGTTTGACCTTTATATTAATTGTTGCCTTGACCGAGCTATTTTTAAAACTGTTGTTTATGTAAACTTGCAACCAATCAAAATCCTTCATGATGCTGATCAACCAATCAGATTTCCCGTCCACCAGGTGGACGGGAATCTCACACTTTAGATAGGTTTTGTGTCAGGCCCTATTCTGTGATTAGGGCCTGAACTTCAGGTTAGGAAGGTACCGATATCACTTTCTAAAATCCTCAGTTCTGGCTCACGAACTCTCACGCCTAAATTTTGGCAAGCGCGCGGACTCATTTTTTTTTGGGCATGGTGCATGAAATGTCATTCTATCAAAGTGTTTTATTTTCTATAAGCTAGATATTTCATTGACCTTAGGTTCATGGGGATAAACAACTTTGTCAGTGTCAAATAAACCTGGGTACGAGGTTGGCTTAGGCTAGCTGTTTTATAGCCTACGTCGAATTTCGGTCGCGTCGATTATCTCATTATCTATTGTCTTAATTGCATTCGACGCGACCAAAATTAGCCTACGTCTTAGACTCGAACTCGTTCCTCGTAGAAACGAGTTTGAGTCTATGACGTAGACTAGACCAAAATCCGACGTGTTGAAAAAATTCTTTCATGCATGCAATACACAAACTTTGTATTTTTTACGAAAATTTTAGTAATTATCTTTAATAAATATACTACTGAAAACTTAAAGGTGATCTACAGTCCGATCTGCGCCTGTGCACAAATGAGCCCACTTTTTATGATACAAACAGTTTAACTATATTTTGAGTTCTTGAAAAGCTTGATTGTTGTTTCTGGATCATTTATTATACTCTAGAAGCTTGAAAATATAAATAGTTGTCGAATAAAGCTCAATATTTTGGACACAAAAATGTAAACAAAGGCTTTGTTTACATACGGATTGTAGATCACCTTTAAACTATCTCAATAAAAATCAGTATAGTTTCAATTTATTTTATTGGGGGAGAAAGCTGAGAAAATTGGTAAAAATGAAATGTAAATCTAATGTTTGGAATCAAGTTTAATTAATTTAAAGTGATTTATTCAATTAAAAAGACAATAATATAGATCATAGTAGATTAAGAACTAATTAAATTATGACAAAAAATATACAATATTAAAACTTGGTTCTTAATAGAATCTTTGTCCTACATAAAGTTTAATACACTAGTTTCGCCACAATGGCTGAATAAATCAGATATTTCATATCAAGTCAAGGTTTTGATTTTGAATGTAAGAGTGCCGTTCCCAGTTTAGCCGTGTCGATTCTGCCGAACCTAAAATTTTTAGAACAAAAATTTCGTCGTGTAAACGCAATAGGCGGACCGGGACCAAAAAGCGTGGGTCCGCGTGCCAAAATTTAAGCGTGCTGTACCCAAAATGACTGTCGTGTAAACGCCGGGCCTTTACAGGCTTTAGCTATATGCATGTCTTTGAGCTGAGAAATAATAGTCCGTATACATCGCGGGCGATCATAATGTTTTATACAACGATGTAAAGCGAATATTATTAGCCATTTCCCAAGTCTTGGTTGGGTCTAGTCGCGCAAATACCATGTTGGAGGGACAAGAAATATGGCAGCACACATTTAACTAATTAAATGTTTAATTTAATGTAAAAAGGAGATATTTCATTTTTGGTCGTCTGAAAAGCTGATTTTGATAGTAGATACTTCTACTCTTTGTCTCTTTCACATATTTGACGCCTGTCTCCATATATTTTGTCCCTCCAAACGATTCCAGAGTGCAAAGGCTAATTGGAAAGAGGCTTCCGTACATGTTGAAATCGCCAAATAAACAGCTCATGCACACATTTCTCCACTTCGTCGTAAGTTTACAGAGCAGAACTTATACTTTGCCCGCTTTGGCACTGATCTTTGTCTTTGATGTGAACATTTATTCTTCTAGTTTAAGGTTATTTAAGATTGATCCTGTCGTAAGTCGTCTACCGGCAACCCATCGACAATATTTCATTTTAGCGTTGTCTTTGCCGTTACTTTTGTATTTTTGTTTTAAATACCTTGCTCGCGTTAAAAGAGTTATTTAGTTTTCAGGCCAGTGGCAATGACATAGCCACTCAAAAGACTTATAACATTAACGTCCTTGTGATTTTATAGAGATATCCGCTCGAACTGAGGATTTTAGCAAGCGTTATCTGTACCTTCTCAAAGTTGTAAACAAGATATCAAAATGATTCGAGCAAAACGATCATTTGTTAAAAGGAAGTCTGGTTAATAGAAATTTGTCCTTTTGAGTGACGTAATCAAGTGTCGGACACACGATTATGTCACTCAAAAGGATTAACATTCGTCATCGATCCGTGTCGTTGTACAATGAAAACTTTGTCGTAAAATTAGTGAAGATAAAATAGCAGTTTGTGAGAAAGCTGCAGGTCTGAAATTTGAACTCACCGTGCTTGAAAGTGTCAGTTCCCGTAAAAATATTTCAGTTCCAAGACATGCTAAATGAAAGTGAACGATATCGGGACGCAGCAAATGGCCTAAAATTACCGGATCTATTTACCCTACACGCAACTACATTCATGCATCGCTACCATCACCATAAATTACCATCCGTCTTCAATGACTTATTCGTTCCAGTAAACAAAGTACATAGTTACAACACTAGACTTGCATCTAAGCAAACATATTCTTTACCAAAAACCAAGATATCATACCACGATAAATACCAAGATAAGATACCAAGGACCTAAAATATGGAATTCTCTGCCTGAAAGTGAGAAAAAGTTGTCAGCATCTTAGTTAAAAACGTTTAAAACTTCGTTTTATTGAGTCGTATTAGGTCAATAGTTTATATACTATTTTGCTTAAAAGGTGATTGAATTGTTTGGGTTTTTTGTCTTTTTTTTGCTGTTGTTTTTTGTCATGTTCGTCTCTACGTTTGTCCTGTTTGATATTTTCGCCGACTAATTAAATATCGAAAATCTCCACTATGTTGTCTTACTCTATGGACGTTATCTGCCTAATTCAGTTAGCCCTTATGGTTATTTTAGGCATGCCGATAGTACTCACACCTACTATACGGATTAAGTAATTAAAGTAATAATTTATAATGGGTGAATAAATTCTTCTTCTTCTTCTTCAAGGTGAACAAGTACGAAAACAACCTCTTCAAAAACAACAGTTGAAGCAACAAGATCAAACCGATGGAGCATTCCCAAGCAAACCTGTGCAAGGACCAACATCAGGTGCCCAAGATGGTGCAAAACCGAAAACTGTTCCAATAACACCCCAACAACAACCCTCAAAAACACCCCCATCTCAACCAGCTGGTAAACAACAACGTCAAGCAACTAAACCACAGATACCCGTCCAGCAACAACCAACTGGTCCACCTCGGGCGGAAAAAGGTGAATTAAGACCACCATTACGACCTGATAAAGGCGGCACAGCTGGTAGACCCATTCGCCTCAGAGCGAACTTCCTACACGTACAGTTACCTACAAATGATATACACCACTATGACACTACTATACAAGCAAATTTTAAAACAAGACCCGGCGGTGATGGATACACTAAGTCAGAAGCCGCAAAGATCATTCATAAAATGGTGGAACAATACGAGAAAGTAAATCCAAGTGGTCCCAAACTTGTTTATGATAAAGATGGGAAGAATCTTTATTGTCGTACACCAATTCCAGGAATTGGAAAAGACAAAAAAGAATTCAAGATAACATTTATAACAGACAACGGCAAAGAACGTGAGTATACAGTTACAATTCAATGGGCATCTAAAGTCAGCCTCTATAACCTGAATGAAGCTCTCGAAGGACGATTAACTGAAATACCCCGGGACACCTTTCAAGCTGTTCAAACTGTTCTCAGATTTTTGCCGGCAATGACGAGCATTCCAATTGGTCAATCATTCTTCAGTTACCCAGATGGAGGTGAAAAGAATCTTGGCCTTGGTTTTCAAATTTGGGATGGGCGGTTCGTCAGCATTCGTCCAACCCAGTGGAAAATGATGCTAAATGTAGACACATGTTCTACAGCCTTCTACAAAGCACAGCCTGTCCTCCACTTCATGTGCGAATACCTTGAGCTTAACCAAATCCCAGCTAGATTGAACAGGGGTCAATCTAGAATATTCCGCAAGGAAATGAAAACCATTCAGATTGAAACAACTCACGTAAAAAGAAAACAAAGGGTTTCTGGTCTTTCCGAGAAATCATCAAAGGAGGAGAAATTTCCACTTGAAGATGGAAAGATGATCAGCGTTTTTGATTATTTCAAGTCGAAGCATAACATTACTCTAAGGTACCCCGACCTGCCTTGTTTAAAGATTGGCCAGAAAAGCCTTATTCCGATGGAATTATGCAACATTGTGCAAGGTCAACGAAAGCAAGGAAGGCTGACTCCAAACCAAACGCGAGAAATGATTCGATACACTGCCCTCCCTGCTCCACAACGCCAGCAAGAAATTTCCAAGTTGATAAGAAATGCTAAGTTTGATGAAGATCCTTACTGCAGAGATTTTGGCATCAAAGTGGGCAAAGAAATGGCCACTATCGAAGGCAGAGTTTTAGATCCTCCCCTGTTAAACTATGGTCCATCTAATAAACCACTCGTTGAGAGGCCACGAGACGGTGTTTGGAACATGCAAAACAAGCCAATGTACACACCGAAAGAGTTGAATGAGTGGGCAATCATTTCATATGAAAACCCAAGATTCCTTGACGATCGGGCGATAGACAACTTCATCAACAGACTTGTTATGGCAGGCAAGGAAAAGCAGCTTCGCATTCACGCATCGCCCTGTCGCAAAGCAATACAACGCGGTTATGAAGGCATTGGACATCTCTTTGATCAGCTCAACAAGGATTTCACCAACCTGCAACTTATCATTGTCCTTTTACCTGGAAGGGGCAGCACTGATGAGTATTATGAAGAGGTGAAACACTTCGGCGACGTTGTCTATGGTATTCGTACCCAGTGTATCAAGTCTAACAATGCAAAGAAAGCGGACATGCAAACATTGGCAAACATCTGTCTAAAGATCAATGCGAAGCTAGGTGGGACCACTTCAGTCATAGACAAAGGTATCCGATCCCCAATTCTCAAACGTCCGGTTGTCATTTTTGGTGCTGATGTCACCCATCCTGCCCCGGCAGATGAGACCTCGCCCTCGATTGCTGCCGTTGTAGCTAGCATGGATTCGCATCCAAACCTTTATAGCGCCGAGGTACGAGTCCAGAAGCATTTTAAGAAGAAGAGCCTTGAAGGGATTGTCGAGTTGAAAGAGATGGTAGTAATCCTACTCAAAAAATTCCGGTCATCTACGGGAGTTGCACCAGAGAAGATTATTTTCTATCGAGATGGCGTGAGTGAAGGGCAGTTCAAAGAGGTCTTAATTCACGAGCTTCAAGCTTTTCAACACGCATGTCGCGAGCTTCACCCAAATTACAAACCCCAAATCACCTTCATTGTCGTTCAGAAGCGCCACCATGCTCGGTTCTTTGCCGAAAATCCAAGGGACCAACGCGGAAAGAGCAAGAACATCCCAGCCGGGACAATTGTCGACAAACAAGTATGTCATCCATTTGAATTCGATTGGTACCTCTGCAGCCACGCTGGTATACAAGGTACCAGCAAACCGGCCCATTACCACGTGTTGTACGATGACAGTAACTTCAAATCGGATGAATTACAGATTCTTACCAATCAGTTGTGCCACACCTACGTCCGATGTGCCAGAGCAGTGTCCATCCCCGCCCCTGTCTATTACGCCCACCACGTGGCGTTTCGAGCCCGCTACCATCTGAAGGAGGTCGACCGAGGGAGCAGCGAAGGCAGCACGGCGTCTGGCGGAGAAGTTGTTACTCTGGAAAAAGAGGAACTGATTCGAGCTGTGAGGATCCATGACAAACTAAGTTCAACGATGTACTTTGCATAGAAATCATACGAACTGTGTTATATTGGTAAAATCGAATAAAGGGTAACTTTGATTTGCATATGTGAAGTTACAGCAATCTCAGATAAAACATTGAAGAGAACATATACGACGTTTTCTTCTTAGATACAACCAATGGCATCAATTTTGTAAGTTGAGTTTATGGTTATATAGTTAAAATTTTATTGACAAGCTATCGAAAATGAATGCTATACCCTTCCCGACTGCCCCCGATTTGATTTGACTCCAATGGCAAGAACTATTTATGCTTTGTCTTTAAATTTTTTTTCGAAAAGATTGCATTTCAAAAATCGGAATGTAGATGTTTAAATTAAGATTTGAATAATTCAAAAATACGTTGGGGGAAAAATAGAAGCATTCTATTTTCGATAGATAATATATATAAACATTCAATATATAATCGACATATAAGTGGTACAGTATATTAATTAATTAATTAATTAATTAATTAATGATATATTTGAGTTAGCCTGCAGAGAACAATTAATGAACAGTCTCGGACAGACGGACAGTTTAATGATAAAGTAAGAATGGGCCATTCCATTTAATATCTACACCCCCCTGTCGACGACGTCTTCGGAGGGGTCCTGAAAATTTGTATTTCTTAGGGGTTCTAAAAATGGTAATTTCCGAAGGGAACAAAAAAATCGCATTTTCTTAAGGGTTTTCGCTAATCA